GTAAAAAAAACAACATACAATCACAGATAATGTTCTTACCATAAAGTTTCATAATATGTCGATTCACTGTAATTTTTAAACTAAAGGAGCTATAAGTGTTCTGYTGAGTRTAAATTTGCTATATTACGCACTGGTAAGACGGAGACAACAAATTCCACCGTTATGTACTCTTAAGTGAAAGATACGCGGTTTCTGAAAAGGTTGGTCAGGTCACAGTAATGTTCTTTGGCGCAGAGTATAGAGTAATAAATATTTCTTTTAAAATTACAGTATTAATATTTTCTTATTAAATTTATTAAATTAAGGTTTGTGGTAAAGCATTCAATAGTAGAGATAACAGAAATGCTCATCGTTTTGTACATAGTGACAAAAAGCCCTATGAATGTTTAGTTTGTGGTGCTGGATTTATGCGTAAACCATTACTTTACAATCATATGACTCAAGCGGGTCATTTGAATGATACTATTGTTGTTAATCAACCTCGGCTAGCATCTAGTCCTGTAACCATACAAGAAATCMAAGAAGACATTCAATTGCCTGGTACTGATTCTGAGTTGGAATTGGCCATGGTGGTTGATTCTGAAGGAAACCAAACAGAGTTGGTTAGTAATGAAATTAAGCTGCTTAGATTAAATAATTAAATAACATTAATTAATTTTATGTATCAAAAATAAAATATTTAGCGTGATATGACTGAAGAAGAAAGAAAATTGTTTGCTGGAGAATTAAAAGAGCACATACTTTTACCAGGCAAACAAGAAGACCTCGGGAATGATTTAAATTCTGTTGAACAAATACTTGTTGATAATAAATATCAAGTAATCAAACACTTTAGATCCAATACTTTTTCTGTTTTTATAATAATTTCAAATTGTAGATCCAATACACAACTACRGATCAGCATGGTGATGTTCATACAATGTTAAACATGGATCATCATGGGGATGAGGATGTTGGACACATGGAGACTGTTACTGTTAGTGTTGGTGGCCAAGAACATCGTCAATTAATAGTACCAGCCACTCGTCATATTACATTGAATGAAAGTGATGCTGCAGCATTTGCTGAACATGCTACTATAAAYGGYGAAAACGTGCAAATAGTACAGATACAAATACAAGACGATGATGGAGAAGACCAAAAACATTGGTTCAATATTATTCAACCACAGCAAGGATAACAATAAAATGTCTATAACTATATAATTTAAATTACATAAGACTAATTTTAAGTGTGTAATTTAAGCATAATATATTATACTAAATAATAATTATTGAAAACTAATTTTTAGTCTTGGTATTTATCTTCATTATAACTAAGTTTTACTGTATGCGATTTAATGATTTTTATTTCATGTTTACATTAAATACATTTTCGGTATTTATGAAATTTAATTTTCATTAAATATAGGAATTATAGTTGGTTGACCTTAAGTTCATTTTAAGATTTTATGTTATTTTAAGATGAACTTGACTTATTGTTTCACCTAAAGTTAACTTTTTGTGATATAACCTTTTATATTTTCCTTATTTTTAATTTTAATATAATTAAAATGATTTAGAAGTAAAGTTATTTTGTTCAATTTTATACTAATAAATGTCAGAAATATTTTTTATTCATTTATAATTTATATCTTCCATTTTTTTTTTTTTTTWTWTTAGYACCTGCAATTGTAGGTTTAATATTGATTGCACTACACTTAAAAGAAAAAAATTTTAAATTGAATTTTWTTTGGAAATTAGATGAAACTTCAATAAATTATATTATACTTGATTGTTGATTTAGTATTTTACATGCTATGTATGCTATGCATGTAATCGTTTGAATAATAAAAACATAATATTTCAAATACCTTAGTATTAATTTTTTAGGACTTGATTAAATGTATTAATATTGCGTGTTCTCAAATTTCTTATTTAATGATTAAATCATTTAGTAGTTAATAATATGAATAAGACAAAAAAAAAAWTRTTCAATTTCAAGTGTATTGCTGTCATATTACTATAATTTAATGATAATTTTAAGTTATTGACAACTCCCCTCAAATATAATGAATGCCTATGGTAATTTTGGCAATCTAAATTAAATGTATTCTTGCCAATAATTATCATTGCAACCAAGCACTAAACAATTATTATAGGTACTATAAAAAAATAAACATRAATGTGATTTTTTTAAACGATGGGTACAGAAATTACTTAGTTTCTTTTCAAGGACAGCACATAATTTTTAAAACAGATTATCTGTWGCTATTGTCTAATGTGCATTGGTATATAGTATATACCATATACAACCCTTGAGTCTTGACTATTGGGTAACTGAGTATGGTAATATTATCAAGGWGTCCCCTACAGTTTGTCCGTCCAAATTGACCGTGTTCAGTAATAGTTTCTAAGGTGTGCTAGTTCTTTACTTTACATTCCTCATGCAAAAAAGTATGATAAACCTTTATCCATTGAATACCAAACTGATTAACATTCCTAGCCACGGTCTTTTAAGAGCATCTTATTCTAGTGGAACACGTTCCGCCATCGGAGTGTGGACCATAAAAAAAAAAATGAATGTTTACCAATGATTTAATAACGGCATAACGCCCAAATTAATCAAATTATATTAATTATAACGATAACATTATAAATAATGATTTATGATATTATCACCATAATTTTTACTGTAGTTAGTTTTCTCTTATCTTTAATGTATTTTGAATTTAATAATTATGTAATTCACCCACCGAACATTTGAAAGTCAACTACTACGAACATCAAACAGTACGATAGAAAATAATTCGTTAGTTCACGATGTAGATCATCTATACCATCTATACTATAACTGCAGTATAACATGACAAATTATTAGATAGGTGTCATCACAGTTTTTTGATACGCATTCTTCGCTCTTTACTTCACCTATATCGTAGTTCTCCACTTCTTATTGGCTGCCAACCATTTACATAAATATATATAATATATAATAAAATCAACCAATGAGAAGTGGAGAACTGCGACATCGGCCGGAGGTGAAGGAGAATATGCGCATACTGAGCAAAACTAGTAATACTTTGATAGTSTGATGATACCTAACCTATCTAATTTCTCATGATCTATAATATCGTGAGCATAGACCTATTAACAGTATTAACCAAGTATTGATATTATAATATTAATAGGTTTATGATCGTGAGTGGGTTACATTCACTATTCACATAATCACATGGGAACGTTACGGAGGTTCGTTAAATTATTTTGTTTCCCACCCCCACTATAATATTGTTTATTGTTCTGTGGTTGATATTATCACAGAACAAATGATATTATATTCTGTTCTGTGGTTGATATTATATTCTGTTCTGTGGTGCTACAACAACTTCTGCGAAAGCCTCATGACTTGTAATGTTAAGTGATAACGATAAGTGATTTACCATTTACCATTTTCATTTTGTAACCGCACTGCGCACGTTATATTTGCAGACCAGCGTTTCTATCGTTATTGTTATTGTTGATCGTTAAAAAATTTTTGTTCACTGACTTTWAATTTTAAACAATATATTTGATAGCGATTTAGTTGGATCCATACTGCATCATGTCAAATGGGAATGAAGAAAAGTTCGATTCAATGCTTCTGGCATTGGCTCAGCAGCACGAGAAAGGAGTAGAACAAGTAATTAAAATAAAAAATCATTAAAACAAATGATTAGTTAACTTTTTTTTGTGAAGAGACTAGTATATATTTCCAACAGTAAATAGTTAATTTGTTTAAAGTTGTTAAATTGTATAATAGGTATTTAATATTTTTTTAAAGTAGTAAAATATTTTATTTGTTTAACTTAGGTAAGTTATTTATGKGATGTATTCATTTTCATAGGAATTTGTCCRGGAATTTGTTATTATGATAAAATTTCTTAACTTTAATTTAATTTTTATTTCATTACTTGTTATAACAGTATATTATTGATTTTTCTATTGTTAATTCAATWATYTGACTGCTGTTACTATGGTAACATATGTAATATACTATGAAACTTCTAAATACTGGGCTTTCTTGGTCACTGATATTTTGTCTGCTATTTGGAGGTGTCCTCAGAGGGTTCAGATTGTAGAAAGTTTGTAATTGGTTCCCAATCCAATATCTACTATTGGGAGGTGTTAGGGGAGGTTACACTGCAATTAAAAGTCGATGGTGAAAAGATGTACACAAGTAAATTATTATATTTAACAATAGGTAGTGTATTGTTTGTATTTATAAAAAATAAAAATAAAGCAGGGAATTATAGCAAAAA